CTTAGCTGTGGAGGGCAGTGTCACTGGCCCTCATGTGGGATCCGAACCGGGGCCCTCTGGCATCCCAAGCCAGCTCTTAACCAACGCGCTACTCAGCTGGCCCTGAGAGTCAGATTTTAAAACCAAAAGAATTTTTCACCGTTTTATTGACTTGCCAACCACATTGTTAAAGCAAAGAATGTGTTTGGTAAGAAATTCATTGGTTTGAGTGATGTTTTACATAATAGTACATGAAATCAGTTCATCTTAATTATCCTGTTGTGGTGATTACTTTATGTTTTGGGTTTAGTAATCAATATTAGTGGTATGTAATTTAAAATGATAGGTTCTATAATTTAACATGCTAGAAGAGTTAATTGATTAAGAATACTAAATATTTTTCTTTAGATGCAAAATAACTGAAGGTAGAACAAATGGAAACCAGAAAAACGCAAAAATTTGGCCAGAAATACTGGGTTCCAGGTATTTAAAAAGCATCTTGATAACAGGTTCATTCTCATTTAGTGACTCTCTTGCTTTCCTCACTGCTAAACTCATTTGTCCAACATTTCAACAGACTGTAATGTTTCAGATTTGTTCTATCTTTATGGTAACTAGTGAGAGTTGGATTTCTACACTGTACTCAGTTATATGAGGGAAAGGATGATTTTCTTTGATAATCATCTGCTAAGGATATAATTTCATTGCTTCTAGAAAGATCTTTGTGATTCTTGCATGCTAAATTCTTAGCAGATACATACAATTATTGACTGTTATATAAAGTTAATTATAATTTTCTTTTCAGACTTTTTTTATATACTAAAAGTATCAATAGCAAGATATGGTTTTTGTGTAAGCATTCTTACAAACTTAAATGGTAGCACTGTACTTGGTTTGTTTTTCAATTAGAGTAGACTTTAAAACCTTACTTTAAAATCCATGGTGATGTTTCTAGCTGATAAATTTAAAAATGTTAGAATTACATCTGCCTAAGTGGACAAACACAAACTTATTTAGAATAGAAGCTTTTTGCAAACATGTTTTCTTAAAACATAAAAAATGCTCCAATTTAGAAATTAACTTACAGAAAATATTTATAAGTGTACATAAGAATTGGGGGGTGTGGGGCCAGCCGAGTGGCTCAGTTGGTTAAGAGCATGAGCTCTGAGCTACACAATGCCGGTTCGATTCCCACATGGGCTGGTAAGCTGCGCCCAAACTGAGCCGTGGCTGCGAGCTGCCAACTGCCAACAGGCAGCCAGATGGCGACTGGACTTGGAGCTGAGCTAGCTGCGCCCTCCATAACTAAGATTGAAGAGCAACAGCTTGGTTGTTCTCCTTCCCAATTCCCCAATAAAATCTTAAAAAAAAAATTTAAAAATTGGGGGGTGAATTTGTCTATTTTCTTGGAAATGACAATGAAAAGCTAAAATGTATTAAGTTTCTGAGAATTGAAGCCGAAAAGTAATCCAGTTGTATTGAAAACTTTTAGAAAGTCATTTTATTTAAAAATGTGTCTGTAGTGGTGATGGAAATTACTTGATTTCTAATTATTTGCAGATTGCAAATTCAATGGTGAGCACATGGACAGGACCACCAGCCATGAAGTCACTCTTTACTAGAATGTTCTGTTGTAAAACTTGTCCAAACATTGTGAAAACAAACAACTTTATGAGCTTTCAAAGTTATTTTCTACAGAAGGTACAGTTTACTTTCTAAATTTCTTATGATTGTTTTATGCCACTATCTGTATATCTCTGTTTAACTTGGAGACTGTTCAAATAATAGATGTGTTTACTATCTTCTGAGAGGTTTTGCCTCTGTTTTGTTTTTGCTTTTAAAATTTTGTCCAAAATTTTGTTTACGTGATTGTTCATTGAGTTAAGAGCTGTGGGCAAGTAACTCACTATCCACATTAATACTAAAGTAAGTAGAAATGGACCATTTGAATTTTAGGCCGGTGACCTGGGGGATGGGGTACAGGTAAGTCCTGAAGGCACACCTTCCAGAGTGTGGATGGCATATGTGAGTCACAGACAGCACTGCTCAGTACTCTAGTGTCAGGGCCACTTGTGCTGCTCAGTAGCAGTTGGCACGAGGACAGGTTTCTTAACCCTCTAAGCCTCAGTTTACACAATCGTATAGTTTACCTTTTTTAGAATTAAATAAGATCAAGCATGTGAAAAGTTTGAGACTATATCGCATAGTAAGTTTTTTAGAAATGGTAACGTAGAAAATAGAGGTGTGATGGAGGCAGTGTTTCAGGAAGGGATGAGAGATGGCAGGGTGGTCAGCATTTGGGCAGTTTGGAAACCATTTGTAAAATGAAGGCAAAGATTAGAGGAACTAGATTGAACTAGAGGGAGGAGTGAAGATGAAGTAGAAAAAAAGTAGTGAAGCCTCTTCTTTCATGACTTTGCTGTTGAGAATTGTGAGAAATGAGACCTGTTGAGAGGCTCGAGCACGGCCCAGGAAAGGCCGTCCTGGGATTGTTTTTGTTTGTGTAGAGGGAGAGAAAACTTTAGACGTGTTTGGCACGGATTGGAGAGGGAGAGATGAAGTATTCAGTGGGAGCAAGTAAATGTAAAAAAGGGAAGGTGGAGCGAATTCTGAAGGTATTAGTAGTGGGTGGGACACTGTTGGGAGGTCAATTTTAGGAAAGATAAAAACCTGCCTTTTTCTGAGGCAAGGTTAAAAGAAGTGAAATGACAGATGTTAAAGGAGATGTTACGCAAGTTGAGCTTTATTTATAATAGACGGACAGGAAAAGGATTTCCCAGCAGCACTGACGCCTGCTGAGAGTGGCAGTCATGATTTATTTGTAGTGAATTTCATCAGAACAGATTCAGGAAGATCCCGGTTTGGGGAAAGCCAGTATTGGTGTGATCAAAGAAGTCTGTGGCCTCCGGTTTTTTGATTTTTAAGTACTGAACATCTGATGGTACTTAGACATGTTGGCTCAGCTCTACTGGCATCTCATTGATTTATGGCGTGAAAGCAGGTTAATGTCTGTGTCTACCCGCTATGTCCCCTTCATTATGTCCTGGTGATTCCATGTACCTTAGATCAGTGTTTTCTGTTGGGAGTTGTGATAGCCACTGGTGAAGGAGTCAGGAAATCAATTTGGAAGTTTTTGTTTGTCATTTGCATAAAAAATAATAGGCAGTATCAGACTGCAGCACTTGTAATGAGGGTAGGTGTAAGGTATTTTGGGTTTTCTTTTTGTAGTTTGTAAACATGGCATCTAAGTGTGTGTGTGTGTGTGTGTGTGTGTGTGTGTGTGCGCGCGTGCGCGCGCGCGCGCGCACACGCGCAGTGGAGATGTCAATGTGTTTCTTACTGTGGGTTGCCATAAAAAAAGTGGCAAAATGTATGCTTTTAGACCAGTTTAGACCTTTCACATATTTCTAGTGGCAGAAAAGAGAGATTAGTATCTGAATCAAACTTGAGTTCTACAAGGACAGAACAGGCATAGGACAGATGCTTCTATGAAAAGAGCGCTTCCCTCAGCTCTTCCAGCATTAACTCCCACAGTGGTGCCAGTGTCGTAACACTGACCTTCCTTTTGCTTCTGCGCCTTCAAGCAATCAAAGGAGCCACCCTGCTTTTTATCCCTCAGTTCAGAGGGTATAGTTAATTTTTTTCTTTTTTTTTTTAGAAATTTTTATTGGGGAACAGTGTGTTTTTCCAGGACCCATCAGCTCAAATCAAGTAGTTGTTCCTATCTAGTTGTGGAGGGTGCAGCTCAGTGGCCCATGTGGGGATGGAGCCGGCAACCTTGGTGTCGTGAGCCTGCGCTCTAACCACCTGAGCTAACCGGCTGCCCCAGGGTATAGTTATTTTAAATCAGAAGAGGGGATAGTCCAGATCTCGGTTGTATGCTGGGGCCCGTGGTGTCTAGTCGTCTGTAATTCTGCCTTGAGTTTAAGTAGCTTCGTTTTACTGGTAGCGGACACCATTATGTGAGTCAGGTTTCTACCTTCTTAGAAAAGTTGCCTATGAAAATTTGGGAAGAAGAAAGTTAGGCTGCATTTCAGATAATTTACCATTTTCCCTTAAGCTGAGATGGGGTGGCACTGAGATGGGTGGTACCCATTGAACTCTATGCCTGCCACATGCCTCCTGCCACATGTTATTTAACCCTGAAAATGGTGGTGAGGCTGCTGGCCCGTAAGCAACTAGCAAAAAAAAACCCCATTTTAGTAGGCAGTAGAGTAGGAATTGGATAATGGTTTTCTAATGTTAAAATTCATATCTTTTTCACTGTAAAACACAACTAAATTTATATAATTTACATTATATATACTTTCCTCTAGCAAATGAAGACAAAGGTACGTGGGCTACAAGTACATCCAGTTATACAGTTCTCCCCTTGGTTTCCTGCTTCGCTCTTCTCTTCTGTTAGAATGTTAGAGACATGTTCCCACTGAGAAAGAGTGGGAGTTAGGGTGGTTAGCCTCCATCCAGATACCTTCGTCAGGCCCAGAATCACTTTTTCTACATGTACGTCAATGAATTGTAGTAGTGAAATAGTTTATATGCTTCATTTTTTTTTTTTGTAGACTATGCCAGTTGCAATGGCTTTATTGAGAGATGTTCACAACCTTTGTCCCAAAGAAGTCTTAACATTTATTTTAGACTTAATCAAGTACAATGACAACAGAAAAAATAAGGTAAGATACCTTAATGAATATTATAAAACTACCTGGTGATATTTTGTTTTTAAAGAAATATTTAGACTGTGACTTGATTGTTGAGTCCATGCTACTTGCAATTTCTGGAGATAAAAACATACAAACAGGATTTATTATAACCAGTGCATGAAAACCAAGATTAGTTGGTTTATAAATGTTCCTCATAGCTTCTCTGGGATATGGATTTAGGAATTAATTTTCTTTTTGATGATTTCCTTTTCCATTTTTCTGCTTTTGCTAGAACTTCTTTTATTCGTATGCCATTTCTTGTACATCAGCCCTCCAATTTCCTTCCTTCCTTCCTCCCCTTCCCCCACTCAAAATTTCTGGAGCTTTTTTCAATTTTATATTGTAATTTAATTTTTATGCTGATTCTCTGTACAGTTTCTTAAAAATATGTTTTGCTATTGCATGGTATGTCATGGGTTATGTTTTAGGCAATATTAATGATAGTTTTTGGATTTTTCCCCCCCTTGCCATTTTTTTTCCCCTTGCGTACTCTATTTCCTCTAAGTTGCTTTTTTCCCTTTGTTTGTTCTCGTGTGTCTACTTTTATGTTGGTGCTGTCCTCAAATATCTGATAATCTTTGGTTATGTGTACATATGTGAGAGGAGAGCACTAGATAGAATATGCGAAGCTCTGTATTACAAGCGGGATTTGTGGACTGTGGTCTTCCTTTTAGAGGAACCTGGCAAGGTGACTGTAAGAGTGGCTTTCATGTAGTAAATATTTGTTGAGTAAACTAATATATTACTAATTAGTGAATCTCTTTCACTTTTTTTCCCCATGTGTAACTCTATGCAAAGGACAGAGTTTGAGTACTTAACAGAGAACTTGCTTATGTTTTCAGATAAATTATGTTTTTAAGTTACGTGTATTTTATTAACTTTTGAACAGAGTGTGAATTTTGTTATCCTCTTATAATTATTTTTTGGCTTAGTTTTCAGATAACTATTATCGTGCAGAAATGATTGATGCCCTTGCTAACTCTGTTACGCCTGCAGTCAGTGTGAATAATGAAGTGCGAACTTTGGATAACTTAAATCCGGATGTGCGACTCATTCTTGAAGAAATCACCAGGTTTTTGAATATGGAAAAACTTCTTCCGAGTTATAGACATACCATTACTGTCAGGTATAATGATTCTTTACGTTTTCTTTAAAGTTATTTGTTTTTATAATTATAAGAGAAATTTATTCTCATTATAGAAAACCGCAAAATATAGTAAAGTTAAAGGAGAAAATTAAAATCCAACGATTCTATCATCCACAGATAAATTATTGCTGTATGATTTTGGAGAGTGACCCTCTAAATTTTTTCCTCTTGTAACAATATAAATTTTAAATTACTGGATATATATTTTATATGTGAATTGGAATACAGATTTTGTATTCTGCTTGTATCGTAAATACTTTCTCATCATCATAAATTCTTCCTAAGCATGATTTTTGATGTATGCATAATCTTCTATCCCATTGGATATTGTATATACACCCTTCTATTTTTAGGCTCTTTTAAGATGACTTTTCACTTCTTTCAACTTCTTTGTATATGGCTATCAAAAAAAATCCATTTTTTTACTAGTTTGCTATAAAAAAGCTCATTCACTGATTCAAACATTATGAATGGTTTAACTTTCCACATTTATTATTTACTAAACTGTATATTACTACACTTTTGGAGCAACTATAAGAATAATAATACCTGAAATTGAATTTCTAAACAAATTTTAAAATTTGTTTTCTTTTAATATTATTTAGATATTTTTAATTTTTATGATCTTTGCAAAAATTTAATGTTAAAAATTAAAAGGTGGATTCAGATCATATCAATTTCTCAGTTTATTGTTATAGATTAATTTCTAATGCCTGGCAAACAAGTTTGATTCAGGCTTGATACTTTAACAAATTCTTTAACAATACTTTAACAAAAGTATTTAAATGTAAATACTGTTTTCCTAGTTGTTTGAGAGCCATACGCGTTCTTCAGAAGAATGGACATGTGCCAAGCGATCCAGCTCTTTTTAAATCTTATGCAGAATATGGCCACTTTGTGGACATTAGGATAGCAGCTTTGGAAGCAGTTGTTGATTATACTAAAGGTAAGTCTTTAGAAATTTATACGCAAACATTAAAGCCAGTCTTAGTTATTGGTGTTTTTTTATTATGTACCATACAGATGTTTTAACTTTAAATTCTTGACTCACTGATTTTTGGTAAATGTAGAATTTGTATAAGAATTAATAAATGACGGAAAAGAATAAAATTACAGATAGATACCTTTGATCTTTCCAAGAAGTCAGTATATCATTCTTATAGCTTTAATTATTGGATACATATTTTAAGAAATAGAAGACGATGTTTCTGAAATTTCTAACTATATAAGAAGGATTCAGGAAAACATCTTGCACCTTTCACAAATTTGTGAAAGAACAAGAGACACATATAGCTGCTTCAGGAGGGGGGGGATTAGGCAACGGTTTGTGAAGTTGTAAAATGAGGCTACTTCCCACCACCCACTGTCTCTTGCTCTGTCTTGGCTTTTGTACAATTCAACTAGTATACACTCCGTACACACAACCAGCTCAATGAAAACCCAACGGCAAACACTTAAAAAAAAAAAGGCTAAAAAATGAATAAGAGAAAACTACATATTTAAAACATTTTCAGAAATACAGAGGAGAAAGATGAAGAGATGAAAAAGTAATCCCCATCACTGTTCCCATCCCCCCAATTATCCAATAAAAAAAAAAAATCTTAAAAAAAAAAAGTTTAAAAAAAAAAAAAAGTAAAAAATTAAGTCATGAAGACTGGAGCCGGTGGAAGAAAAGCAGTAATTTAAGAAGTAGTGGAATACTTTGATAAAATGTAAATGAAACTGACCCAAGCTAGAGTCTGATGAAATTTAAAATTTTAAAGTTAAGAAAAAAGTGTGTAAATTCTTAGGAACATCAAAATCTAATTACTGTGCAAGGTAAAAGAGTAATGTGGCCTGTGACTTCTTCAGAGCATGAAGAGTTCAAAAGACAGTGAACAAGTGGCTAACATAATGTTTAGGGAAAATTATGATCTAAGATTTTCTACTTTGCCAAATTGTTGTTCATGTAGCCTTGAAGGCTTAGAAGTACATCTCCTGTGTAACATTTAAAAAAATAAAATTCCCAAAGATATGTTTCGGCTGATATGGAAATGAATCAAAGTAATAGCTCAAAATTGTTGAAAGTGTGAAATGAAAGACATAGTGATGAGCACCTATGCCTGTAAAATATAGAGCTACATTGAAATATTTGTTCATATGGTTCTAAAGTTTAATGCAGAATTCAAAAGTGATTTTTTAAAAATTATATGGAAATGTTAGAAGTAATTAATCTGCATCTAAAATTCCAGATCATAGCACTAAAATAAGGGAAGAGTAAAGAAGTTAACATATGCTGACCTTATCTGACTATGGAAAGAAAGGAAGGAGTGAGGGAAGTTCTTTAATAGATATTTATTAATTTTCACATATTAAGTAGAGGAAATATAACTCACATCTTTATAATTTTTTGTAGATTTCAATAGAAATACTTGTTTATAGTTAGAAATTATAAAAGGCAAGAGAATATTGTGTGCATGTTATATATGGTGGTCTGAGTTCAGAAAGGACTGCCATTTATTCTTTTTATTGAGGGTTAAAGTTATTTCTTTTAAGAAATGATGGTGAAAATAGTGATTTTTTTCTTTTAATGAATTTCTTGGCAAGAAAAAGAAATGTAATCCTCTATCAGTCTCCGTTTTTTTTTTTTTTGACATTTTACCTATTCATGAAACCTAGAAGTCTTCAGCTCTACTAAATATTCCAGTAGTCCCAACTGTTTCCCCCACGGTGTATGAATGATGTTCACTGTCACATAAAGAGGAAGACTTTATGAATTAGTACTACCTGAAGTGAAATAGAATGTTAATATTTTGATTTCCAAAAGAACACTAAATTAATGTAATTTAATTGAGAGGTGTTTAAATGTGATCCATGAATTTTATTTAGCTCATTTGAAATGGAAAAAGATGGAAAATATTAGAAATAGAACTCTGAAAATAAAGCTTTTCAAGTCATAACAATAAAACTTGTTAAAAAGGTGAATGGAAATAGCTGATGAGTCATTTTCTTGAAATCAGTTATATTTATAGCACTATTTTGTAATTGCCTTTTATGTTATCTTGAAAAGTTAAGGACTGCTTTTTAGTCTTAAATGAAAGAAACCACTTGGGCAAAAACAGTTTACTATATAAAATAGTTGAGATACCACTGAGTATCAGACCTCTATAAATATCAAATTACACAATTTTATTTAAATACATTTTGTCTATTTAGAGTTAATCATCTCTAATTTAAGGCTGTTAATAAATTATAATTTACTTTATATTGTATTTGCCATTGATTTGACTGTAGTGAAAAAATATACACTTTAGTCCTGTTTTATACTTTGGTTACATATGCATATAGCACAGTACTTATAAAATTTACAAAGTGGCCTATTACATAAAAAACTGTTAAAAAGTTATCTGCATCCCAAAGTATAGCATAGGGAATGTAGTCAATAATATTGTAATACTATGTATAGTGTCAGGTGGGTACTAGACTAAATGTGGGGGTCACTGCATAAATTATATAAACGTCTAACCACTATGCTGTATGCCTGAAACTAATATAAAATAATATTGAATGTCAACTGTAATTGAAAATTAAAATCATTTTTAAAAAAGAAATTAGACAAATATTTTGGAAGAAAAAAAAAAGTTATCTACAGCCTTCAACTCTGATTGGAAGTCCAGCTAAGGCAGAGTCCTAAATATTACGTATAAACTCCTTGCTTATCACTTGTTTAATTTGTTGTAATTGCAACAGATTTCCTTGTTTTTATTTCCAGTGGACCGGAGTTATGAAGAACTGCAGTGGCTACTTAATATGATTCAGAATGACCCTGTGCCCTATGTAAGGTTAGTTTTCGTGCTGTAATTTTTTTTTGTAACTTCTAAAGTAAATTGAATAATTTCAGAATAGTATACATGGAGCAAGGTTTTGTTGTTTTTGAAAACATAGGAATATGTTATGCATTTATTCATGCCCTTTTTAATTTGTTTTTTAAATTTGATTTGCCTTTGAAAATACATTTAAAAAATACACTGTTAATAAAATTTATTCTCCATAATTTTACATATGATTTCTATTGTAATTTAAAGAAAAGCTTATGTAATAGTTTATAATACACATGGAGGATCCCATATATATCCAAAATGATGAAACCTCTATACTGATTGATTTAATTTATTTTAAAAGTAATTATGAGTAATGTTTTGATGTATATCATTTGTTCCTTTCTATGTTATATAAAATCTTAAGTTTTATTAAATAGACTTGGGATTAAAAAATGTAATATAACACTTTAAAAATTTAGAAAACAAAAGAAAATCCCTGTGCTGACATAGTAACTATTTTCATTTTGGTATCCCCTTCTAGTCTTCATTTCTGCTGTTTCTTTTGCAAAGTAGGATGTTTATTGTGTATTCAAATAGGATTAAATTTTTGACCATTTTTGTCTTTCTTTCTTGGTACATAATAGACACTCAGATTTTTATTCATGTTAATGTTATGGTTTCATAAAATAAAATTTGAAATCTGGAAAGTAATTTAGATTATAGCCATTCACTAGAAACAAGAACATAGACCTAGACGTGAATTGTTTTGCTCAGCTTTACACATCAGTTGGCAGATAGTTGTTTTCTTCTAAAAAGACATCCAAGCAAACTCTGCCTTCTAACCCACTGAAATGCATCGGGGCATGAGGAACCACATAAGAGATTCCAGCTCTCTAACAGGGATATTATCTTCAGCCAACAGTTGTTTTTCAGGCTGGTTGTAGCAGTGAGTTCTTGGTTAAATTACCTTATATTTCAGTGTCTTAAATGATGCTTATTATATAAGCATTCTGTATACAAAGTTTTGCTGTTAATACTTCATATTTCTTCATTTGTGATCTAAATGGCATTTTAAATAATCTGTCCTTGTGGTTGGTGCATACTAAGGGTAAGGTTGGCATGGACAAAAATCTCATCGTTCCCTATTCTAAAATACATGCCATATAAAAGGCGATAGTCAGGACACCTGTCTCATGTCTTATCTGGCAGAGCTCATGCATTTGAAAGTTTATAATAAGATCCTACTTATAGCAAGTAGGAACAGAAAGTATAAATACAGTGTAAATAGAGCTTACCATGCATTCATTTATATTTCAGTTCCATCAACAGAACTAACATTAAGATGCATATTTCTGAGATCTTAGAATTGTGCTTTGAAGACCTTTTTTAGAGGATTATAATATCATGTAATATTTGAAGTTTTTATATTTCTGAATTATATACTATACAGTCTAAATGATTGCTTTTGAAATATTGTGTGGAGCTGTTAATATTATGGAAATTTCAAGAGCTTTGATGTTTATAATCTGAACTGAAAATATATTTAAGGATATAGTTCATGATTCTTTTTGACATGTTTTCTTATTGATGTTGCTTGTTTATATCACCAATAGGGAACCTCTTAGGGTTTACTTAAAACTATCTAGCCTATAATTATACTCATAGTTTAAAAAAAATTTAACATGTCTTAAAAATTCTTTAATGGCAGTGAAGTATTAACACACAGCATTTATTTTATGTGTGTATTTTTTGGTGTCTTGGAACATCTGTCTATTTTTGTGTTTCACTGTTTTTTTATACTTTGAGTAGGAACTCTGTCCTTTTCTCTTTGTCCCATTACTTTTTCTTTTTTCTTTATTTCATCTTTATTGAGGTATAATTGACATATAACATTATATGTATTAGTCATATTTGCTTTAGATTGGGTAGGATTATTTTAAAGATGACATAGAATTCTTGTTTTGGAATCAGCACGCATATGATCTTATTGTGTCTGTTCCTCATAGGGACTCACTTACAAGATGTAATCAAACAATATGGTGAGTGTTTAAATAAAAACAAAATGTATTACAGTAAAACACACATTGCCATTAATCCCCCTCTAAATACTCCCCCTTGCTTTCTGAAGCAACTCTGGAAATCCTCTTTCATGAGTGTCTTTAGTTGTGTGCTGTCGTGGCTGCCTCGATGTCCTGAATCATTTTGACTTTGGGGAAGAGCCAGAAGTCACACAGTGTGAGATACAGTGAATACTCGTAAGGTGGATGAGGACACACCGTAATGTTTTTATTTGACAGAAATTGCCATATACCAGAAGCGATGTGTGACACAGAGCATTGTCATGATAGAGGATGATTTACAGCACACTTTAAAACACACCTTCTCTTAACCACAGCTCCCATCCAACTAACTGCACCGAACAAGTTGAAACTTGTCACACACTGTTACTAAGTTTTGAGGTGCCACTTCCCATATTGAAAATCCCTGCCTTTCCATTGGATGACACTCGGCAGCAGCATTCGCCGTATTTTGTGATCACAACAGAAAGGCCCCATGTCACACATCGCTCCTGGTACAGCAATTTCTGTCAAATAGAAACATTACTGTGTGTCCTCATTCAGCTTATTCACCGGACCTAGCACCGTGCGACTTCTGGCTCTTCTCCGAAGTCAAAATGACCATAAAAGGTAAATGTTTTGAATCCATTCAGGACATCACGGCAGCCACGGCAGAGCAACTAAAGACACTCATGAAAGAGGACTTCCAGAACTGCTTCAGAAAGTGGCAAGAAGGGATAACTGTGTTTGAAGCAAGGGGGAGTATTTAGAGGGGGATTAATGGCAATGTGTCTTTTACTGTAATAATTTTTTTTTAAAATTTAAACAATCACCGTATATTTTGATCACACCTCATACATCCAACACTTTTTTTTTTTCTGAGAGATTTTGAGCATGTTTTAATTTGACTCCATTTTTTATAGTGTTTAGCCCACCAAGAAAATTCTCAAGTGTCTAGGGATATAACGATGTTTTTGCTGCTCTGAATGTGACATAAACCCGAGACTTTCTCAGGATTTGCTTCAGGACTGTTCCAGATGTTGAAAGCATATGCTTGTTGTGAATTCTTATGTTTAATCTCTGTAAAATTAAGCATAAGATTCTCATTGTCCTCCATTAAACTTTATCTCCTCTGAGTATTGCTTTGAGTGTTTAGTTGTTTATAAATATTTTCTTGTGAAAGTCTTCTATTACCTAAGCTTTAGAGAAAAACAACACTTCTAAAGAAATATTTAATTGCATAAAGTAATACATGTACTAATCATTATTGCTGTTTTAGTGATATTTTAAAGATATCCCCAGAGTACCCTTTACACTTCATTGGCATGGCTATAAAGAGTTTGTAATGATCTGAGTAAATATCATCAAGTTTTATTAGCGGGGCCGTACCACTTTGGTATTTGGGGTAATGGAGAAAGCAGCTGGATAGAAACTTAGTAACTTTTCTTCTTAGTGCAAATTAAAAGTATAACAAGATCAACATGCTCTAAAACAGCAGACTCATCCATATTTTAAAAGATGTTATTTATTTGTAATGCTGATTTAGTCTTACAAATAGATTTTGAGGTCCTTAAGGACAGGATTGCATTTATCCATAAAGATTTGAAAATACTGATGTGAAATATCTATAAAGATACATATCCTCTTTCATATTACCTATCTGTAAATTGCATCTGTAATGACATTTCACTTTTTGTTCTTATAGCCTTTCAACATTCTTTCATATGGTCTTAAAATTTCAAAGCACAAAACTGTGTTAACAGTGAGAGTCCACATATTTCAGTTTTACAGACAAATTGAAGCCAAAAGGGGTTAAGTGACAAACTACAACCGAGCAGTTCACTTTTCTCCTTTCCTTTCTCAAGTACTAATCCTGTTTGTTAGTTTTCCACCAACAATTAAATATAAAAATTTCCAGAGTTTACACCTTCTTTAAAGTTTTCTAGCCTCAATAAAAATTACAACCTAAGCTTCTTTCTTCCTTTATTTTGTCCAAGCATTTCATTACTCTGAAGTCTTGAATTTGTCAGACCAATTCTAGGCCTGGCTTTTATCTGTTCACTAAATGCTAGATTACTCCCGTAGCTTCTTTCTCCTTTTCTTTCTCTATCTTCTCTTTGTCGTATCTCCTACTCATAGGATTGAACATTTTCTTTCTCAAATTTTGTTTTAGTCACATTGCTCTATTTTTCAGATGACTCCATAATGTGTGCAGGTAGCCTCTCTCACATGAGATAAAAAATCCCAATAGAGGAGTTTAACTGTTATGCTGTATGAGGATATTTTTTTATTAATTGACTCTTCTAAACCTCAGCTTGTTTTGAGGAAATCTTTTCGCAGTCGCCATATTTAAAGTGCTTCTGCACATTTTCATGCTTTACAAAGATACCATAATAATGAAGTTTATATTGATTGTATTATCTCAAATGTAGACTTCTTGACCTATATGTGATTTATTTTTGTCCCATTTTAAGATTTTCATATTTACTGACCAGTCTTTTTTGTAAACTGTTCTAAAGAGAGCAAAATGTTCATTTTAGAAGTGGGATGGGAAACGTTGGTTAGTAATACACAGATCAGGTTTTAGAAGACCTCATTGGACACAATGCCAATTTTAGAAAGAACAAACCCGCCAGAGTTTTTTAGTGAAAAAATAATAGTAAATATTTAGGATATAGCATAATGCCTTTTGAAATGAAACAAAATTTAAACACAAAGCTAGCTCTCATAAGGAAGATGATACAATAGGAAGGAGGAACTAGAGGTAATTTTCAAATGCTTTTATTTAATGGTCAGCAGAAATTTATTTTTTTTATCTTTCAGACATAAGATTCTAAACATGTTGACTAAGAACCCACCATTTACTAAGAACATGGAGTCTCCCTTGTGTAACGAAGCCCTGGTAGATCAGCTGTGGAAACTTATGAATTCTGGTGAGACAGCAGTGGCTTTTTAAAAATATTTTATGATTGGTGTATTTGTATTTTATAACAGGTTTTCAGCACTTATAAAAAGTGTGGTTAATTTTTTTTTCTTTTTGTTTTTTTTTATTTTAAGTTGGACACTTATTACACCTACCTTCACATCAGAGGATGTGATACCATTTGCTAAGGATATATTCCACAGGGTGGTTGAGGAAACAAAAATGTTAATTTATGCGAAACTGTCTCAAATGTTTAAAGAGCTTCAAATAGGAACCTGCAAAGCATTGTTATTTTTTATTTCAGAGGTTACCAAGGGTTGAAAATACGCCTTCTCACCTATTTCTTAGGAAATTATGTATATACACACAAATATAAGTGAAGTTTGCTGTTTTTACTTAGTGTGAAATGGACAGAAAGATGAGGGTAGATCTACCCTCTGGCAGTTGTACTTGTCTGGCCCAACTGTACGCAGCTCCAAACTTCTGTCGTCAATAAGGAATGCTGGGTTTATTGAAAAATGTCCTGAGAATAGTGGTTTTCAAAGTGAGCTTTCTTCTTAGCAGCTTTTTGGCGTAATCAGCTTTAATAGCAATTACTTCAGAAAATGAAGAGATGGTCTTTTTTAGGATCAGTTTGCTGTTTTGGAGGTTTGTCTTTAGATGCTTTCTGATTTGAATAGAGAACATCTCTGTTGGGTTTCCTACTTTCTTCTTGAGTGCTGTTCTTCTGATTCAGGTAAACAGAGTTGGTTCCAAAGTATAACTGCTAGTGCGGACAGCACTTTTACCCGAGAGGAAAGAATAATTTGTTTTTTTTCACATGTATGAGCATTCGTTCCCATTTAAATGATTGATGTGGGTGGGATAGCTAGAAGATGAAATAAGCCTTCAAAGTGCTGTGACCCAGGACAGAAATCAGCAGCTGTGTCAGGGCCTCTCTCTAATAGAATGGATTGGTTTGGAATGGTAGCATTTTTAGACCTGAGAGGATCTTACAGATCATCTAAGTTAATTGCTCTTATCTTAGGGCCCAGGCAGCTGACTTGCCCAAGATAATCACAGAGTAACGGGTAATTCAAAACAGAAATGATTTTCCCCACTGTATCGCTCAATTTAATTCCACGGTAATAACACCCATTATAAGACTTTATTCCATGATTTTGCAATACAGTGGAGTTCTGATTTTTTTATCTCTTTTGTAATTTTAACAGAAGCACTGCTATTTATTTTTTAGCTTCCTCATATCAGTCCTAAATTTTAATACTTATAAGTCAATTATTTGAAGAAAAAAACACTATCAGGAACTTCCCTCAGGAACAAAACAACATTTATTCCTCTACCCAAACCGAAGCTAAACCAAAACCAAAAAACCCACAGAAATAAAAGTAACAGAACCCATAGCCCAGTGGTTTCATGCCATTTAGCCGCCCTCAGCGTGTTGCCCAATCATCCTTCATCCGACTTTCCAAAAACAGAACATCTTACCCTTGCTCATCAAACTGTACATTTTCATTTGCCTTTTAAAATTAAAATAATAATTTTTTTAAAGCTTTGAGGAATTCCACACTCCATGGCCTAATTGGTTATCTACAACATATAAAGGTTCAGCATGGCCGCAGACCTAATTAGGTGATATATTGATCTTCAAGGTTTAGTTTTCTTCCAGTATAAATGTACCCTAAGCCATTCTATTTTCCTAACTGATAAAATGCCTGAGAGTCACTCGCGCCTTTTCTTACTTACTACACCTATGAATGCAGAGGGCTCGCTGCTCTGGAGATCCCTTCCCTCCCTTCAGGGGGTTGAGCCCTGCGGTCCTTCATAATAAAAACCCCAGGAATCTAATGCTTGTCCTTTATGGAACCTTTATATACATAAAAGGCTTAGAGCAGGAGAATAATGAACAGCTACAGAAAAAGTAGGCACTGTCAGGTCGACAGTGTCTAGATATGCATATGCGAGAGGAGGGAATGGATTTCCAGTGTAAAATCCTTACTTTCATTCTGTACCTCTTCTTCTCATTTCTGCTTTCTCTGTAGTTTTTAAGATATAAAACCTTATCCTCCTCGGGAGCTCCTGCCTCTTTCCCTTGCTTCTAGCAGTTTTGTGTATCTGTTACCTTATCACACAGTAGCAAAATGAAGATGTCTCAGGTAGGATCGATGACAGCTTTTTCACAGCAATACAGCATGCAAAGTGCTTAGCACAGTGTAGTATATGGTATGAACTCCGTAAAATGGTGATTTTTTTTCATGTGGATTACCTTTGCATATAATTAATATAACATTCACTTATCTTTTAGAGTAAATCTCATCAGAATCACTACTTTATTAACGGGCACAACTGATCTCACAGATTCATTGCACACAAAGATGCCACTATGAAATACGTCTTTACTGTACTAAGTCACAAGCACGACTGGTAATAGGTTACGGTAGAGGGGGAAGATATGGAAGCGATGAGTCACGGTACTTAAGTTAACTGTTAGATATTTGAAAATTTGTGTGCAGTGAATCTGGGAGATCACTTATACCCGATAGAGAGTTAAGTTTACCTTCTTATTCTAATATTTGTTGTTGAAAACCACAAACCTTAATATTTATGCTGTCCAAAATTTGCTGTAGCAGCTTCTTTGTTTTTTGTTTCTCCTTTTTTTTTTTTTTGTATCCTGGAATGTGAAGGTGTGGTATGGTGGGGTGGGGAGTGTGTGCGTGTGTGTGTGAGCCATTCTGCCACCTTTTGGCAGCTCAGCGGCAGCTCAGCTTGGGCCGGGCATCGAACCACTGTTGCTCAGAGCTCACACTCTTGAGCAAGCTCTTAGCCAACTGAGCCACTCAGCCGGCCTTTGTTTCTCCTTTTTTAAACATTACGGTACTCTTTTTGACACCACAGTTCTTGGTCAAAATTAAGTATTTATAGGGTTTATTTTTGTATCCAGTAGAATTTACGTCTCACTTCTTTTAAATGATCTAGATCATTTTAAATTCAGCCTAGAAACCATAAAAATTATGTGACCCTAGTCTGTTCTATTTGATGGCACTATCTACCTGCGGTGCTCTCCTGGGGAAAAAAGGAAAGTGAGAAAGAATTGTGGTGTCAGTGAGCTCTATTCTGTCATTGCTTTGGGCATGTTATATAACCTGAGACCAGCATCCTTCTTTTGGACTTGAAAAATCTGAGACTCATCAGGGGATTTGAAAGAACGTAACCCTAGTCTGTCAACTTTAAACCGAATTTGTACACAGGCAGTCTTCTTCTGGTCGATGCGTGTTTTACGACCTGTTGCCATCTCTGGGGTTTGCTTAGTTTTGTGTTGCTTTTTTTTTTAAAACAAATACCTAGTAGAAAATATAAAGGTGTGTAGCAAAATATTACCCTCCTCTACAATACATCCAAGTTTAGCATCTTCTTGTTTCAAGTAGTTGTAGGGTTTCTTATCATTTATTTAAAACCTGAAAGTAATAAATTCAGGAGTTAGGAGAATTGGTTTCAAGTGGTAGGATTCATGAAGGTTCATGGAATATCTTCCTAACAGGCTATTAAAAAAGAAAATCAAACAAAAGGAAGATTTAGAGGCACAACAAATACTGTTGGGTTGTCGGAAAAGTCATGACGCATTTTTGCAATGAAAAACAAAAAATACGTCATGACTTTTCCAACAACCCAATATATTTTTGTATTCATTTTGTATAAAAGAATGGTGTGATAAAAATGTTTCCAATGATATTCATTAGTTTATTCACTAACACTGTTCCTGTAACAATTTGTGTCTGTGTTAAGATACATTTTTTAGGGTAGAGGGTTTGCCAGTGGGGCTAGGTCAGTAGATGGCTCCTTTTAGGCACCATAATCCTTCCTTCCCTCTGTATAGGCTCTGAAACAGTTTAAAATGTATGGATAAATGTGCATATTGACTCTTATTTCTTTATTATTTACTTCTTAGGGACTTCACATGACTGGAGGTTACGGTGTGGTGCTGTGGACTTGTACTTCACACTTTTTGGCCTCAGTAGACCTTCCTGCTTACCCTTGCCAGAGCTTGGGTTGGTTCTTAATCTAAAAGAGAAAAAAGCTGTCTTGAACCCAACCATAATTCCAGAGGCCATCGCAGGCAACCAAGAAACTGCGATTAATCCAAGTAGCCATGCACAGCTAGTTGGATTTCAGAACCCTGTAAGAATCCCGTGTTTACAGAAGACGTAGTTTTATTATGTAGAGCTATCGAGAGAACTGCTTCTTTTGAACTGGCAAATTTTAAAGCCACTGAGTTTTGTACAATTTAAAAAACTGCTGGCTGACATTAATTGAGCACTTTACAATTTATAAAGTGCTGCTAGCAATTACGTGGTGCTGCCAGTCCATTTACTCCTTTTGTGATAACGTAATACTATTTTGTACCTGAGCGTAGAATTTCTTCTTTGAGTAGTAAAAAATTAAAATGGATATTTAACCTATTACACATTAACCTATGTTGTCTATATATGGTAATGGCAAACTGAACACAAGGGGCCTTGACTTTTTCTTTTTTTTTTCCACTTTGTATAATACCTAGCACGGTTCTAAACATATAAGTGCCTGGCAAATGCTTGTTGAATTAAACAAATAAATAACAACGAATAGTCAGATAAATGAGTAATCTGATTTGGGAGGAGACTATGTATTACATTTGGAAATTTGTGTATTTGTATATGTGTTTGCCTTTAGAAAAGTTTTATTTTTGGCTATGCATTATAGAAGTACCAGGCTTTTTACAGAAAGACCTTTAAGATACATATCAATGATTTTATTGTAATTCAAAGGAAGTTCTAGAGATGATTTTCTTGTGACAAAATGTCCCCAATACGTCAAGCTTCGTTTTTCACCAATATTTAGACCAGGTTGCTTGCCTGGCAACTCCCTACTGGTGTTTTGACAGTTTAGAGCTCAGATTCCCTCTGTACTAGTTAGAAATAGTCACTTTAAATTACTTGTTCACCTAGATTTTCTGAAATATAATTGTACTAATTTGTTGTAAATTTAAACTGTATCCTAGAGTTTGGGTTATAAAGAAGTAAGGCAGATTTTTCCATAGTAAAAAAAAAAAAAGTCTCATTAAAGAGCTGTTTCAGATCTAAATGTTTGTAAACTTGTGGATATGAATATGTTTATAATTCTTGCTCATATACGTTCATTTATCCACAATCATACTTGGAGTCTTCAGGATAAGAGGAGGAAATGACACCAAAAGATAATATTCTTTTGGGAAAGATATAAAAGTTCCCTTACTCCCTTCTACCCCCCACAAAAAACCAGCAGACAGGAAAAGGTGATATTCACAGCCCATTGCTGATAACTTTTAGGCACTGGGCATGCTCTAATCTGCATGGTTGCTACAGCTACTAGTTTTCAGCTATAATATGAGCTACTTGTCTTCAGGAATCTAATTTTGATCTTGAATATTGCCGCAGGAAGATGATCACCTTGCCAAAGAAGCATCATGTAATATATCAGCTCATCAGCAGGGAGTGAAGAGGAAGGCTGATACACCACTGGGGTCCCCACTAGAACCTGGTCAAATACTGGAGAAGAATGAGGATAGCAGTAAAGTCAAACTCAAAATCAGAGTAAGAAGTACAGGTTAAGCCTGTAAAAACAGTGTAGGATATTCACCTTCTTGTAAATCTTTGTGAACACTTGCCACGGTTTTTCCTTAGGAACAGACGGGGCAGACTGAATCATAAGAGAGCCCAAGTGCCTGTCTCTAAGACATTCCAGTTGATAGTTCAACTTCTGTTATCACATACTTCTTCTCTGTTTGGGGAGGAACTATGTGTGCACAGTCTACCACAGCTCGCTACTTCTTCCCACAACACAGGAATAGATTTTAGTTGCTGTTACATTTCCAGTAATTTCCAGTCAGCTTCTTTGGGAGGCTGAACCATATCATCTTTTCTTTCTCTTAATACTTTTTGAGAAAAAGAGACTACTTTTCCTTTTAAGATTATTTGGGGGTATATCCTGTGGCCTGTCTGCTACCTTTCCTAAGAGCTAAGTAAGACCCAAACGTAAAGTGATGTAAAGTAATGGCCACTTTTCTCCTTTGTTCTCTGTGTGTGTTTTAGTTTTCAAGTTCTCAAGACGAGGAGGAGATTGATATGGATACTGTTCACGATAGCCAGGCGTTCATCTCCCATCACCTGAACATGCTTGAAAGGCCATCAACTCCAGGTACGAGGAGCATTATTGCGGTCACTGGGGGGTTGCAGAGAATTCACCTGAGACCACTATTCCAAGGTGTGTGGCTTTATTTTCAAGTGAACAGCTATAAAGTTTAAAAGTAGCTGGTATAACATAAAATGGTAGATTATAACACATTTCAGCAAAGGAATAAATTAGAAAAAAAGAAAAGTTTCTTTAGATTTTCTATTTTATTTTTGTTTAATATTTGATATTCTTCTGGATTTGTTTTTTTAAAAAAATTCATCAAATTCCTTCTAATAGTTTTAATTCCTTTCTTCTCTCTCTCTCTCTTTTTCTTGTAATAGGCTTAACCTCAAAATAAAATATTAGATCTATGTTCTTTTTAATAATGTAACCATAATTATATTTAAAAAATTTTTGACTAATGGGACTGCCACCCATAACACAGCTACTTCCTTTTTTTTTTTTTTTCTTTAAGATTTTATTGGGGAATTGGGGAAGAGGAACAGCCAAGTTGTCCTTTAATCTTAGTTGTGGAGGGCGCAGCAAGCTCAGCTCCAAGTCCGGTTGCACCGCTCAGCTCAAGGTGCTGTGTTCAATTAGTTGCGGGTGGGCATAGCCACCATCCCATGCGGGAGTCGAACAAGCAGCCTTGTTGTTAAGAGCACACGCTGTATCCACTGAGCCATCCAGGCAGCAGCTCAGCTCAGGGTGCTGAGTTCAGTCTTAGTTGCGGGTGGGCGTAGCCACCATCCCATGTGGGAATCAAACCGGCGGCCCTGTTGCTTGAGCTCACACTCTTAAGCAAGCTCTTAACCAACTGAGCCACTCGGCCGGCCCCGAGAATTTTATTCTTGAACTGCTTCTGGTTTTAAGGTTCACTTATAAAAACCTGTCAGGTTTTTTTTTTTTTTTTTTTTTTCTTTTGGGAAACAACTAAATCCCTGTTCTCCTTCTTTGGCATTTTAGGGCTCTCTAAATACCGACCAGCTAGCTCCCGGTCTGCCTTAATACCCCAGCACTCACCAGGCTGTGACAGCACACCCCCCACGAAACCCCCGTGGAGTATGGAACTTGCACGGAAGGGAACAGGTGAAATTATTGTTATCATTTTGCTCAAGAACAAAACTATAAACTTCGTAGGTTTCTTTTTCAATTTGAAAAAAACAAAAAAGGGTAGATCTAAGGACTTGCCTTGCAACACATTGAATTTGTATTATTTAATATAAAGACTATTTTAAATGAACATTTTATTATTTCAAAAGTAGTGTACCCCTATTATGTAAAACTTGGAAATAACAGGAAAGTAGAAAGGAGGGGAAAAATATCATCCCTCATTATGCCATTTAAAGATACCCATTATATTAATGTTTTGCTATTCCTTGCAGTGCTTTTTCTAAGAATATTAAAATATGAAAAATGCTAACTTCAGTAGAAACTATCAAATCTGTTCCTTTATACTTTTACAAAATAGAAAAAAATCAACCACTTATTTGCCCTCTCCCACTCCCCCTGAAAGGTTTACAGTTGGTCAACCCTGAAGCCTTGATGTTATACCTGGAAAACAAACATGTTCTGTCTTTTCAATTATACTAATTGGGCTTAAGTTTATGAAAGTTAATTCAATTCAGATATATTTATTACCGATTCTACTATCTTACATCCTACTTTTGCTGCCTACAAAGAGAAGATTATAATCCAAATGAAGAGTGAACATTCAGTGCTGATGAACCAGGATTCAGCCTTCAACTTTTAGCGGAACAGGGACTGCAAAACAAGACACATAAGCAGAATCATTTTTAAAGACTAACTTTTCCAAAAGTCATTTGTCAGGCTTTAAAATTTCAACGGGTGGGTTTTGCTTATATAAACCGGGTTTTTATGATATAAACAGAAGAGTAACTGTTTATTTATTTGAGAGGCTTAGGGAATCAACTGTGATTAATAGGAGACTTCAAACAAAAGCAACACATCAAAATATTTTGGTATTGAGACCCCAGACTTTTGGGTGCTTATATCTCCTTGTGTGCTCTATGCATTCATTGTAATAGGTTCACAAAATATATTTCAGGAAGAAGTCAGCTGGAGACTTTAGAACTTACTTAGATAAGTAAATTTTAACAGTTCTTGGCCCTTGCCTGTTTTGTATTTTCTTGGTTTTGTTTTTGGTTTGGGTGTAATTTTCTTTATTATCATTATACTAGACATGAACATTTTTCTATGTTTTTAAAAATTATAATGCTTAGGATGTTGCAAACCCTTTCATATAGTTTGAGAGTGATACTCCTGCCTGCCTTTCATGTCTTTAAGAAAAATAAATTCTGTCTAATTTCCAATAGTCAAATAAATTGCTGTTCTAGAAGATAATCTGAGTCCGTTTGTTTGGTTTTTCTTAGTCATGTGGCACGCTAACCTTTGTAGAAGCAAATCTGAACACCTTTTTGTGCCACCAACGTGCCCTTGGATTGTCGTTCCATATTGCTTTAAAAAATACATTTTTACTTTTTTTTTGGAATCTCCCTTTACAGTCTTATAGTTCTCACGGCATTGGATGGGAACACCGCGGAGGAGATACAGGGCTAGTGGTAGGGAACAAATAGCAAAGCTTTACAATTTTATCTTTGGTTGTGATCATTGTAGGACCCTTTTATGTCCTGAGGCAAAATGTTTACCAGCGTGTCATGTATAGACTGGTTTAAATATATTCTTTAATGTGCCTTTGTAATTTTCTTTAAATGTATTTATTCATTCAGTACCCTATGACCACTGATCAAGTCTTAAAATTCACTAGTGTTGCTATTAGAATTTAGAAAACCTGCATTTTGTAAATGGCAGTTTTCCAAATGTTTATTTATACATGTATTTATTTTGGGATTCTAAATGCAGTTTTCCCTTAGACACATTGTTATATTTGATAGGTAACTTTCCCAAACTAGCCAATAAAAACCCTTTTAACTTACACCTGAAGAACAGAAGCATCAAACCTAGCCACCTAGTGTAATAATATTTCTGAGAGAAGGGGTACTTTCAGCTCCATCTGTTGGAATGTCAGAAGCACAACTTTAACCTAACCCAGGCAAAGTAGGCAGTAAAACAGGAACTCCCTCCCTTGCGGCCTCCCAGCTAGAGCTGGGGGTCTCCTTCTGCGGTAGGTGCCTTGGCCTGGGGCTGAGAGTTGGGGGTTCCGGAGAGGAGGCATAGAACAGTGACCTCTCTTAAGTCTTCAGGGATTCTAGATTAAAGTTCACAGGTGGGTTTGGGGGACCTTATTCAGCTTTTCCAATTGAGGCATCTTTTAGTTGGCCTATAGAAGTCTTATAAAAATTTTTTAAGTAGTTGACTAAAAATGAAGAGATTACACATAAAAATCTGGATTTCCCGCTTCTCTTGAAAAAGAGTGAATTAATTGAGAAGCCTTTTTAGGCAGGGATGTGCTTTTTATGTCATTGAGTCCACTTGTGTTGCACCTGGTAATCTGTTCACTCATTTATGCTGTCTCCTTAAGTGCAAAGCTTTGGAGTTTGGGACCCCTGCTTCCTTTATTCATGAGCGAGTCTGAGATGGGTGCTTTAGAGCCAGCAAGCAAGATGATGATTGAGAACTGGAATGAGTTAGCCATGTCATCTGGGAGGGATAGAAAAGGAATGAGGGTTTCGGTCCCATAGAGAAGAGATGGAAACTGTTAAGTAGAGGGCGTGGCTTACTTCTTAACCTTCCCCCCACTCGGTCCCCCAATTTTCTGTTTCCTTGAGTATAACAGCGAGCAGAATATTTAAGGGTACGGATGATACATGTGTGACAGGTTAAGCCATTTGGAGGAAGAAAGGAGCAGTGGCAGGGGTGTTTTCCTTCATGACTTTACTGTTTCTTTTCCATCTCCTGAGGCAGGGAAGGGAATTGGAGGAAAGGGCTATATGGTTCCCATGGTGATGGGTGAAGCATACCATGTTCTTTCTTCTCTACCTCACAGGCCCGAGGTGGCTGATCTGTGTCCCAGGTGGTTGCAGGGGTTGCTGTGATGAAGGGGAGAGGAGGAATGACAGGAACAGGAGTGGAGGGAAAGCCCTCGTGGTTTCTGAGGGGAAGTGAAGGCGAGTTCAGCATCTGCCTTGCTGGGCTGCTATATTAGGTAACACCTTGTGTGAGTCAGAAAAGCACTACTCTGGTGTGTGAAATCCTTTAAAAAAAAAAAAGTTGGAGAGCCCTAGAGGTCTTTCTTTCAAAACTAGTATGAAAAACAGACTTTGATCTCTTTTTTTTAATTGTAATGATACAATTCTATACTTTTTTATAGTGATCTAAAGAACCCAAAGAACAGACTTCACACTTTTCCTAGTGGAAACTGCAGATTTTGTGTTAAGTTTAAATATATACTTAATGTCAGAGAATTAGCAGGTTATTCACTGCCTGTTATCAGCACTTTTATCAGATGGCTGAAAAACTTCCACATTAGGCTGACATTGAGTACCTCTTTCTGTTTGTTTTGCATTTGTTAAATTGACTGCAGCTAACCCTTATCCATAATGCTTTTTATTAGATCTCTAGGAAAGATTTTATGGTGGGTAGGATAACAAAACTGAACATCTGTTTTGTTCTTTCTATATAACATGAAATAGAAAAAATATAATGTGAATTATACATGTACATGTATCTCCCTTTTTGTATATATCTGCTGTCCTACAGTAGAAACAATTTTCAGGTCACTGAGAGGGCTTTCATTGTCTTAAAACTGAAGGGTGATTAACCTTGGGTAGGCCTCAAGTTCCCAGGCATCTTATAAACCCCTGAAATATTATGTGAAATTATGTGTGTAAATGTTTGTGTCAGGGAAATGCCAATATGTGCATTTTTCTCAGTGGAAAATCTATTAATAACCTCACTATGGTGGTATGAAAGTAAACTCATCTGTGTCCCAAATCTGACTCTTAATACTTAACTTCACATGAGAACGAAAGTGCATTTGTTTATCACCTTGGATTAGACCTGGTAAAAATTACTCAGGAAAGATAGAGATTAAGCAAACAAAAAATACATATTGTCTACAGTATATGAAAACTGAAGAGCTACAGGTTGTTGGTGGTGATTGAGTAACATTAGGTTTTATCAGATGTTCTGTTGTTACAAACACTATGCTAATGAATATTAGAATATGCCTTTGCACATATGCATGAGCACATTTGTGGGATAATTTTCTAAGTCAAAGAAGATGGGCATTTAAAATTTTTACGGATGATGCCAAATTCTCTTCTCCTTTTTAAAAAATGCTTTGTTACAGAAAACTGAACTAGTCAGATTAGTATAATGAACCCCATGAATCCATTCCTCACCTTCAACAGTGATCAGCTAGCTCATGACGATCTTGTGTAATTTATACCCTTACCCATTTTCACCCTTCTGAATTATTTTGAAACAAATCCCACACATCATTTAAAGTAATTCAGCATGTATCTCTAAAAGATGAGGACTCTAAAAAGTCATTACTGTGGTAATAGTCTTATATTTTAAAAAATTGAATCATTTCATATCATTAAATATCCAGTTATTGTATAAACTTTAGTTGACTTATAAATGCCATTGTTTTTATATTTTAACAATTTATTTGTTTGATTCAGTGTTCACATAAAGTCTACACATTGCAGTTGGCTGATATATCCTTTAAATCTTTTTGAATTTAAAGTTTCTTGTCGATCTTTTTATCTCCCCACACCCCTTTTACAATGTACACGTATTTGTGAAAGAAACTAGGTTTTTGATTTATAGTTTTCAAGTCTGTATTTTGCTAATGTATATCTCTGGTGTAATTAACATGTTAGAGTCCTGTATATTTCCTGTAAATTTGTAGTTGTATCTAGAAGCTTAATTGGATTCAGATTTATAGATGGTGGTGTCCTCTTCAGCCTGGAAGCACAGTGTCTGGTGGCTTTGTGAGTTAGTCATTAAGATGTTGAAGGCCTTGACTCGTCCATTTCGAGGGTTGTAAAATGGTGATACTCTTATTTAGCTTTCCATTTTTATTTATAAACTGGATTGTTTTTATAAAGCTGAATTCCCCCTCATCTACTGTTATCCAGTAATATATATATAGGTCATATAGGAAAAGAAAGATAAAGGCAGTTCAGTCAGTTCCAGCCCAGTCCAGCTATTATCCTTATCAGTATTCAAATTGTCCCACCTCTGGACAGTGAGAACCTCTTAAGTTAACTCTTGAGTCTGTTAAGAATACTTGAACTTTTTTGCTATTGTACCAGATGTTTCCTGCTCATCTTGTAACTTATCTGCACAGACCTGCAGTCAGCCATTTGTCCTTAGAAGCTCTGGTTCCTAATACCTTTATCCTTAGATCTAGCTAATCCATTGTCTTCTTAATAAGACTTCATACAAGTCAAGAGAAATGCAAGATTTATAATCTTTAATGCAAAGTGTAAAGCCACTAGACAAGAAATTGGTACTTTGGAAGTGGCTGTAAGTATTCCTTGGGAAAGAACTCACCCATGTACACTCAGTTGCTCATTTGGCAGTTGCCTCTGCTGGGAAGTACATTTTCCAATATAATTATTGGCTCTTCTGCAGTCCAAGTAGTTTGGCAAGTGTTTAGGATTAATGATGAAACTTCCCCCAGTGCAGAAAAGGACCGCAGACTCCCAATAGTGCAGGCAGCCAATTGGAAGGCTGCAAAGCCTGTTAGTAAAAACTGACTAAATAATGAGATAGGTGCTAAAGGAATCTGCTCCTGAGACTTCCAAGTCTCTTCTTGTTTCTCATCATCACCTGGCTGTGTATTCTGTTTGATAGGAAACTGTTTCCCCGTATTTAGAGAATTGTGACAATATTCATGTAGTTCAGTTTTTAATAAAAATTAAAATCATACAGTGGCATATTTCATTAATACTATAAATCAGATATTCTTCAATTTTTTTCTTTTTCTGAAGACTATCTGGGCAGCAATTAATTGCAAAAAATATGGATCGCTAAACTTGCTTCTATATAAATAATTTCTTTATTTAGGTTTTGCATTATAATAATAAGTGTTAGCTTTACCGAAACCATATGAATATAAAAAATATATAATTTTGTGGTAGCTAAATGTGAATAATCCGTGAGGACAGGAACTTTGACTCGTTCATTTGCTCTAAAAATTGGATCAGTGTCTGACACGGAGAAGTACCATAGTCAGTCAATGCCAGTTGAATGAATGATGTACACTAGTTTCTGTGCTTTATCCATCTGCCTTCAAAATCAGTGACCTTCCAATTGCATTTAGTTGGACTAAGTGCACCTGACATCCTATTTAAAAAGAAACACAGTTATGTAACTCCGTTACATTAATTCATTTGTTTAGCAAGCATTGGCAGAGGTGGGCAGGTGGAATGTAGGGTCTGCTAGATATTGTGTGATATATTGGGATACAGAGATGACAAAAGATAGACTCCCTATCTGAAGAAGTTATGAGCCTAACGAAAGAGACCCAAAGATAAAGATGTGCTCCAGCACAGTATGCACCATGCTCTGCAGACGGGCAGAATGGGTAAGAGCATAGATTCTGGTGTCAGGCCCTTTGGTTTTGTAGCTCAGATCTGCTGCTACAACCTTGGGCAAGTCAGTTTCTCTGTGCCTTAATCTCCTCATCTGTATTATGTTGTGGGAATATGAAAGAATTAAAGGAGAGGGGGTCCGGTTTGGGGGAAGGCTCCCCCCAAAATGACATTTGGGCTGAGATTTAAATTCTTAAAGAGCCTAAAATGTTTTCTGTTTTTTTATTTTCTTCCCCCTCCTTTAGGTTAGCTTAAACCTTACTTCCTTGGAGAATTTTGCCTCTTATTCCCTCCAGCTCCCACCCGCAAGTAATTTAAATCTCCTGTTCTGCTCCTCTTTCTCTCTGTTTTGTCTTTTCATTACTCAGGTGTACTTACCCGGTTTCTTCCTTCTTTGCTAGTTTGTAAGTTCCAGGAGGACTGAGGTGTGTCCAGTTCATCTCTGTTTCCTCTAGTCCCCATGTAGTTCCTGATATTTATTAAATGAATGTGTGAGTCAGAGAAGAAATAAGGGTCGGGTATTCAAAACAATAAGGAATAGCATTTACAAATACACAGAGTTATGAAAGGGCTAGCCTAGAGTGTATGGAAAGGAATAGTGGAAGATGAGGCTGGAACGCTAAGTACAGGACACATTGTAAACTGTCAGCAAAATTAGTTTGGGAGCCGGCTTGGATCAGAATTAGTGCTGAGAACTTACTTTTTAAAAAGAAAAGAAACGACTGCATTGCAGTCCATTGTAGTGAAAAGCCTAGTTTTTTAGTTTGGATAAAAAATATGTTTTTTTCAGAAACTGTTCCACTGAAATCCTAGGAATTTGGCTTTTAGTCTGGCGGTAGAATCAACAGATTTTTAAGCAGATAATTATGATGAGCTTTGTTTTTAGGAAGATCTCTAGGAAGCAGGGCCCCCCAGCCTGAACAGTACCTGCAGTTTGGGCATGAGAATTCTTTGTGTGGGGGGCTGTCCTGTGCCAGTAACACTGCCTCCGCCAGCCCCGCCCCCGTTGTGACAACAGAAATGTCTCCAGACATTGCCAAATAACCCCTGGGGGGCAAAATTGCCCCAGGTTGAGCAGCACTCCTGTGCAGCTGTGTGAAGTGTGGATTAGAGTATCAGTAAGACACTTCAGGCCAAGAAACCAGTTACTAGGAGACAGTACTGTAATCCAGATGAGGTGAGGTGGTTGGAATTTATACAGCTGCAGCCAGGGTCGGGGGCAGATTAAGAGAAGCTTGTGAGATCAACAAGGTTTGGTAACCAACTAGATCTCGAAGGGGGTGATCTAAAGTGCTTCTCAGGCTTTCTGCTTTGTTGACTGCATGTAAAGCAGTGACACCAACCTAGAATAATACAGAAAGAATTGTTTCTTAGGGTATGGCCCAAGGATTACAGAGTGGAGGAAATAATTCTTATACATGGCAGCCTGAAACTACTATTACAGATTCTTGGACAGATAGAAAAGGAAAGAACTTTCAAAGACATTTGATTCATGTTTTGGGTGAAATAAAGAGGAATGAAATGAGCTGAAAGTTAAGAACAGAACCTGTTCTAGAGCACAGGTCTCCCAATTCTCAGGGGTTTTTTGTTGGGTTGGTTGGTTGTTTATATTATTAAATGACACTACTCCTGTCTTTTAATAGAGACATCCCCTCTGTAGACTCCCCACCTTTTCTGGGTTTCTTAAGAGTTCACTTTGCCTATCCCCAGAAGTTGTCTGGAGGAACTACAGAAATTTGAATTTTCGCTGAGATCATTAGCAGTAGCTAGCGTAACGTGTTTATGTGTGTTTAATTGTTGTCCGGGTGGCACAAGTATAGTACTGCCATTCCCCCCATAACTTAGGGCAGAACTGTAGTTGAAGGAGCTATGTTTTCATGGACCAATACAGGTCTTACCCTGTAACACACGTGTGCACTCATTACTGTTGCTTCATAGTACTGTAAAATATTAAATTAAATTAGAAGATGGTTTGGTGACACAATGGTATATGTCATAATTTGTATAGACAGTAAGGAATTGAAATATTCTGCTTTCCGGCCACAGTGCTGAACGCTTATCCGTGTGCAACCAATTGGATGTCTTATGTAGCTACTTCTCCTGTTCCTAGTTGTTTCCAGGCGAGGGGTAGACACTGAGGAATCTCTTTGCTGTGCTCTCACCAGCTCCCTCTTACTTTCGTCTCACTTTCCTTGTTATCAACAGGAATTCATTTGGGTGTTTTTAATCTTGAAGGTAAAGAACAGTCACCTTTGGAGATGAGCATTCTGCATCCAGTTGCAACAACTCCACTGTCAGTGTTTTCTAAGGAGTCCGCGTCCTCCAAACACAGCGACCACCACCACCACCACCACCACGAGCACAAGAAGAAGAAGAAGAAGCACAAACACAAGCACAAGCACAAGCACAAGCACGACAGCAAAGAAAAGGACAAGGAGGCTTTCACGTTCTCCAGCCCCGCCAGCGGCAGGTCTGTCCGCTCCCCTTCCCTGTCAGACTGAGGACGGGCCAACGGAGGCCTTGCCCTTGGCGTCCAGGAGAACGCACGCAGCTAAGACTTGGTCCTCCATAAGGAACGATAAATGGGGAAAAACGTCGCCTCTTATAAAAACTTAGCATCCATCTGAGTTCTAAACATTTGATTTACATTATTTATACAATTGAGATGTAATTAGGAAAATGTGTTTTATAGTTCTGACTACTCCGTTTCCTCCTTAACACACCCACACACACACAACCCTCCCCCTTCACACAGGCCCTCGTCTCCACTGGCAGTCCCCATTCCAAACATCACGGTCTCCATGTGTACTGCCAAAGTCAATTATGTTTTCAAGCCTTTGATGGATATTATCAGGCAAAAGTTATGTTTTAAACAGAAGCTACTGCCAAAGCTGTGGTGAAACCACTGTTTCCAGTGACATATTGCATACCACCATTTGGAATTACTGAAAAAGGCTTTTCCTGTAGAATCTTCTCTCTGGGTGTGTGTGTGTGTGTGTGTGTGTGTGTGTGTGTTAAACATAGAAACTAAATCCATTTGGAATTACTGAAAAAGGCTTTTCCTATAGAATCTTCTCTCTGGGTGTGTGTGTGTGTGTATGCGTGTGTGTGTGTGTGTGTTAAACATAGAAACTAAATCTCAGAATTTATAAACAAAAATACCTGATGATTTTCCTTTGCCCTAACATGGACATTTTTAGAAAGCAGCATTTGAAAAAAAATTGAATAACTTTTGATAATGGATTCTGTGATTATGATGTTGGAATTTAACAACTAGCAAATCTACAGTTGTTCTCAAATCAGGATGTTTAAATTGGCTTTTTTTCATTAAGTATAGTGAATATATGTTCATACATTAAAAAATGTTTGCTAAATGTGGACAATATGCACACCCAACACATATTCTAAAATTATTTCTATATGACTCAAATTATGGTACCTTAAAAAAGGTGTTTATATACTGTTCATGAACTTGGATATAGAAAATTCGGCCCTCATGTGAGTATACCATAAACATTTAGTTTTACATGTCAATAGTTTGTATGTTTGTGTGTTTTTTTTAATTTCTGAATTTACTGTGTGCTTTATTTTGTTTGTTTAAAAATGTTTTTCATACCTGTAGTATTTTTATCATTTCCCTCCTCATTAGGAAGTTTGGAATATACTTCTTCCCAGAATAGATATTTCAGAAGGCTCCCATAATGTTAGACTTTTAAATATCCTTTTCTTTTCTTTTCACTTGTTTAATAAATAACTTTTTAAATTGATCATTCTGCTTTTGCATCTTTTTACATCTTTTGTTACCTTTCTCTTTCTGTGTATATATAATATACCTACCCACAAAGCTTGGGGAGAGCTCTGTCTAGGTGGGATTTGATCTGGCTCTGCCAGGAAGAGTGATTTCACTTGGCAGAGATGCGGTGAAGTTCTCTCAGCAGAAGATACAGTGTTTTCAAAATTGCAAAGCAAGGGCGTATTCTGTAATGGTGAAGCAGTGCGGTCGGCCTGGGGTGTAGGAGCAAAATGAATGTGATCAGACGTGGAAGGGCCTAAATGGCAGTTACGTGAAGAGTCCAATTAATTGAGTGTTGGCCAACTGAAATTATTTTTGGAAAATGGAATGTTTTATATTACAGTGTGCAGTGCTACCATATATCAAATTCCCAACTTAGAAAATAGTAAGGATGCATTTCAAAATCATTATCAGCATTGTAGACAGTGACAAATAGTAGCTACCTACGTAATTTAAGCACCTCTTGCATATCAAGCATTATATTAGGAACTGTATATTACGTATGTTATTTCTAAATTGGATATTTATGTTGGATGTTTCTTATGAAGGGCATTGTTTTATGGCGAGCTTTTAGCTATGTAACCTGGTGATTAGAAGCAGATAATGCAAAAAATTATTCACATTTTTGAAATAGGTAATTACACACAAACAATACAAACGTCTGGTCTGAGTTTCCCCAAACTCTTTCCCCAGAGGCAGCCACTGTTGCAGCCTTACATGTATTTTTCCAGAGCTGGTCTATACATATATCTATATAGTATATACACTTTTTAACCAATGATATACTTGCAGAAATTGTTTTTTTTATTTTTGTATAGTTTATGTTTTATGACTACCACATTTTGTGTCATTCTAACAAAGGTCTTTGTTATTCCATGATCACAAAAGAATTCTCCCAGTATTTCTATTAGTTTTAAAGGTTTTATGTTTCAGGTTTATATCCTTTATCCATCTAGAATCCATCTGGGATTTATTTTGATAGGAGGTAGGGATCCCACTTTTTTTTTGTTCCTTCCAGAATGTTACCCAACACCATGTGTTTAAAACTCCATCCTTTCTCTCTAGATTTCAAATGTTATATACTAAATTCCATTATATATTTGGGTCCATTTCTGAACTTTGTAGCTGCTTCCATGGAAATGTCTATTCATCTGCCAGTACCACACTGTTAAGATTATAATAGCTAGATATAGTAGAGTTAGTGTCTGCTCATTTCTTTTTCAGAATTTTTTGGCTACTCTTATAGGTTATTTTCTTTTTCTGGTTGACTTACTGATTTATATACAGTAATATTAATTCCTTGTGGTGTATGTTTCTATGGGTTTTGACAAATGCTTTGGACTTGTGGATCTAACCACCACAGTCCTATCACTCCCAAATTCCCTCATGCTGTGCCTTTGGAGTCAGCCCCCCCCCCCACCAACACCACCCTGCTACCCCCCTTTCCCAACCCCTGGCTTCCACTGATCGATTTTTCCATCCCTATAATTTTGCTATTTTTGTGGGTTTATTTTTCTACATAAATTTTGGAATCAGTCTTTCTAGCCTTGAAATTGATTTTGGAGTTGGTATTGGTTACGTGTTAATTCAAGAGTTAACTTAGAATTGATATCTTGATGTTGATTATTCATGTTAGGGATAATATTACTATCTATGGATAGAGTATTTTTTTAACTGCAGTATAAGGTAGTTTATTTTTCGTGTTTGATACTGAAAAGTGGTATTTTTCTTTACATGGTTATGTCTATTCCTTCATGCTGATTTTGTGCTTAGCTACTGCATTGATCAGGGTTCTCCAGAGAAACCAAACGTGCGTGCACACGCACACGCACACACACACATGTGCGTGCACACGCACACGCACACACACATGTGCGTGCACACACATGCACACACACGCGCGCACACGCACACACATTTGTTATAAATGATTGACTCACATGCTTATGGAGGCTGAGAAGGCCTACAGTCAGCTGCCTGAAGCTAGGGACCCAGGAAAGCTCGTGGTGTAGCCCAAAGGCCCGAGAGCAAGAGAGCCCACAGCACAGTCTGCAGTTCGGTTCTGCCGGCATGAGAAGCAGGAGTGCCAGGGCCGAAGATGGGTGTTCCAGCTCTCATGTAGTCAGGGAGAGAGGAAACCGAACCTTCCTCTACCTTCTTGTTCTCTTTGGGCCCTCAGCAGATTGGATGACGCCCACCCACATTGGGTAGGGCCATCTGCTTTACTCAGTCCACCGATTCAAATGCTAACGTCTTCCGGAAACACCCTCTCAAGCACACCCAGAAACGTTTAGCCAGCTATCTATTCAGGCTTCCCTTGCCCCAGTCACCTTGATATATTGGGTTGTCGGAAAAGTCATGACGCATTTTTGCAACAAAAAACAGAAAAAATATGTCATGACTTTTTCCGACAGCCCAACATAAAATGAACCATCACAGCTACATGACTCAATTCTTATTATTTGCAACATTTTTAATGCATTTCTTGAGTTTTACTTGAAAATAACCAATCTATAAATGAGGATGATTTTATTACCTCTCTTCTAATTTTTATGCATTTAAGTTCTAATTTCTTCTTTTGTTTTGAGTTGTTTTCTCTTGCTGAGTTTGCCTGAGAGCTACAGGAATGCGCATCCTCTCTCAGCATCTTCCTGGCCCCTCCACCTTGCACTTGTCCTGCTTCCTCATGCTGTGGGTTTGCATTTCAGATTCCTTCTCATTTCTTAGAATTTGAAGTTCACAATTTTTTATTCTTGTTCTTTCTTTTTTTTTTTAAGATTTTTTTAATTTATTTTTTTATTGGGGAATTGGGGGGAAGGGGAACAGAGAAGTTGCTGTCCTTTTGTTCTTCAGTCTAGTTGTGGAGGACGTTGCTTCACTGGCCCAAGTTGGCACCATCATTGCGCTCTTCCCGGGCGAGGCAGATCAGTCACCGGCTTCTGGATGGCTGCTCACTGCGGCTGCTGGCCGCTCACGCTGGCTGCTGGCTACACACGGTAGCCCATGGCAACCCACTGCAGCAGGGGCTGCAGCCTACGCCATCGCCGGCGACTCACGGCAGCCCAGCTCCAGGTTGAGCTGTTGTTTAGCATCTTAGCTGTGGAGGGCAGTGTCACTGGCCCTCATATGTGGATCCGAACCGGGGCCCTCTGGCGTCCCAAACCAGTTCTTAACCATTGTGCCACTCGGCCGGCCCTTGTTCTTATTTATTTTGGATACTTCTTAAGGAGAGAATGGAGAAGGCTACTTTGCTACCGAAGCCTTGTAAATGCCTTAAAAAGACATTTTGATGAAAGTATCATCTTTGCATTGAAATCCTTGTCTGGTAAATACAAAGCTGCTTAGTTTTCCCATTCCTGTTCTCCTAACCCATTGCTGCTGTTTCCAACTTTTTACTGTAAGTAACTGAAATGTCTTTATATCAAATGTCCTCCAGCCCAAGCAAAACTGTCTTTCAAAGCTCTTGACCTCTGGCACTTCCCCCCCCCCCCACTTTGAATGTGGGCTGGACTTAATGACTCATTTCCAAAGAATAGAGTATGGAAAGGGGAGAAGAACAACTTTATGGTTAAGAAAGATAGATGCTGCCTTTACCAAATGATCATGGTAAATGTCACCAGTGAGAAGTCAGTAATATCATGGTGTCCTCAGTATGATGTGATGAGAAGGCACCTCTGTGGGTACGCCTCTCTGTGGGCATAAAAATCCACAACCCCGGTCGACCACTCTAATGAGAAAAAACATCAGACAAATCCAAACTGAGAGACACTACAAAGGACTCCTTAAAACTATTGGGTTGTTGGAAAAGGCATGACGCATTTTTGCAATGAAAAACACAGAAAAAATACATCATGACTTTTCCGACAACCCAATATTTAAATTCATGCCAAATGAGGAATGACTGAGAGGCTGTCACAGACGAGGGGTGACTTAAGGAGACATGACAACCATGCAGTGGGTGGTGTTCTTGGATTGGATCCCGCAACAGAAAAAAGATGTTAGTGAAAAAACTAGTGATATCCAGATACATTCTGGAATTTGGTTAATGTACCAATGCTCATTTCTTAGATTTGACAGATGTGCCATGATAGTGTAACACGTTAACATAGGGGACGCTGAATGAAGGATGTATGGGAATACTTGCTAAGAAGGAAATTAACAGAATTGTCATGTCTCTAAGCTGTGAGTGTGTTTTGATCATTTCTATAACCTCAATGATTTACTGTGATAATGTAGTCAATAAGACAGACAGCCCCTGTCCTCAAAGATCATACCACTGAGAGCTAGTGCTTTCACCCCCACTTTTCTCATGTAGAAACTCAGACAGTGCTCACATAGTTTATTAGGTACTCTTGTGTTTGGTGCCTTCACCACGATGGTATTTGATTGGAACGTTGATTAGCATAACACCGATGTGCATTTACTTAAGTGACATTCTTATTTCGATTGGTGTGCTCGTTACAAGTTCCATGCCAGGGTAGAGACGGGTGTGCAGAGTTTTGTACAAAGGAGAATTGCATAGAGTATAGGGTTTTTTTATAATTTTTTTTAAATTGGGGAATTGGGGGAGGGGAATAGCGTTGGGGAATCGGGGAATAGGAACAGACAAGTTGCTGTCCTTTTGTTCTTCAGTCTAGTTGTGGAGGACGTCGCTTCACTGGCCTATGTTGGCATTATCATTGCGCTCTTCCCAGGTGAGGCAGATTGGTCACCGGCCATTGGACGGCCGCTCACAGTGGCTCATGGCAGCTCACGAAAGCTCACACCACCTGCCACTGGCCAGCCCCATTGTAGCCTACGCCATCGCCAGCGACTCACAGCAGCCCAGCTCCAGGTCGAGCTGTTGTTCACCATGTTAGCTGTAGAGGGCGCAGCGTCATTGGCCCACAAGTGGGATCCGAACCGGGGCCCAGCTCAGAGCTGGCATCCCAAGCCAACTCCTAACCAACGCGCCACTCGGCCAGCCCCTAGAGTA